TTGTACCTAATTAGAAGTTGCACTTATACACACATTTTGATTTAAATATCCAATATTGTTTTGTTTTTAATGAACCATACAATAAGACTCTTTAAAAAATGTGTTATTTGGAAACAGTAAATATCATTACCGGTGGTAGAAATAAATTTTTAAGAAAATCCAAAATATGCATATTCCAAAAACTGTATTTTGCTGTTGCATATATATGATGGAATGTTGAAGTAATAAAATTAAATTTGAATTGAGTTTATTTCATGATATTTTGAAATATTTCTTAAAATGCAATGATCTGTAAAGAAATTTGCCAAAAGTAGACCAATGAGCCTTCAATTCAATAAAGCCACCATTCCATTTCTGCATGTTAAATTTTAAAAATAAATCCTTAAAGTCTGGCAGATGTGGCCGGTGGTTGGGCATTGACCCTTGAGCCAAGAGCCACCAGTTCAATTCCCCCTTAAGGTGGATGCAGGCTCCATCCCCAGGAGGAGGCATTCAGGAGGCAGCTAATTGATATTTCTCTCTCATTAATGTTTCTATCTCTCTATTCTTCTCCCTTCCTCTGTCTCTCAAATCAATAAAAAACATATTTTAAAAATCCTGGAAAACATTGTTTCATAGTTTATACTTTTAGAGACATAGAATTTTGTTTATTTTATAATACAACTATACAATATTCCTTCATTTCACTGATAGAGATACCTAATTAAAAAACAAAACAAAACACCTCTTTGGAAGGCTTCCATTCAACTTATCATTAGCAATATTACTTTTCTTCTATAGGATCAATTTTCTAATGTTTATAAAAATGTATCTGATGTAGTTAAAATTATGCAATGTATTATTACATTTTTATCTTGATAGTAAATAGAAAATGAGAAAATCCAATCGTTTCATATTTGCATTAAATCAATTCTCTATGAAATGTATGTGTTGATTGTCAAAAGCTTTTTAATAAGAAATAATTTAAGTCATTATTAAACTTAAGGGTAAATATTATTCTTTTAAAATATGGGCACAAAAGCTATTCATTAAAAAATTGTTACTGATTTTTAGGAATAAAGGAAGAGGGAGAGAAACATCAATATGAGGATGAAGCATTGATCTGTTGCCTCCTGCATGCCCCCCACCAGGAATCAAGCCCATCACCTGGACATGTACCCTGCCCACGAATCCAACTGGCAACCTTTTGGTTCACGGGAGGACACTCAACCAACTGAGCCACACTGGCCAGGGCCAAAAGCTATTCATTTTATAGTACTGGTACAATTACCATGAAAAATATTTGACCTGTGTTTGTAAGTCAAATGATCTGCTATAAATAGAGGAAGAATATTGTATTATATTATTGTCACAGTCAAATACACTGCATAACATTATTTTCTTAATCCCAGCCTAACCCATAGAAAGTATAACTTAATTATAAAAAATTAAATGTAGCCCTGGCTGGTTGCTCAGTGGTTAGAGTATGGGCCTGTGGACCAAAGGTTTGCAGGTTCAATTCCCAGTCAAGGGCACATACCTTGGTTGCAGGTTTCCTAGCTCCAGTATTGGCATTCCCAGGAGACAACCAATCAATGTGTTTCTCTCAGATAGATCTCTCTCTCTCTTTCTCTCTTTCTCTCTCTCTCTCTCTCTCTCCCCCTCCTTTCTCCCTTCTACTCTCTCTAAAACTCAGTGAAAACCATATCCTCCCCTCCAGTGAGAATTTGTATATATATATATGAATATATATATGAATATATATATGAATATATAATATATATATATGAATATATATATGAATATATATATTTAATATATGTACATATATAACACTAGGTGAAAACTAAGTATGAAATGTTCTCTTTGATAATTCGTGTATTATGTATGCCACATACATGCAACATATAATGAGGGAAATATAATAATTATAGAAAGATATTAAATTAAATTAATGATAAAATGCACAGTTGCCAAAAGTAATATTAATTACATAAGTTTCCTGTAAATATAGATGATAGATAATTATTTTTATACACATGACTAATGGCAATCCAACTACTTTGATTTTATTGTCATATATTTGTATTTGAAAAAATGTAGAGAACTTAAAAGGGTTTGAGGAACATTATCCATAAGTTAGTTAATTTAACAATAGTTTAATTACCATTTTCACAACATTTTATTCCTTAAATGTTCTTTTGTTCTAGCATTTAAATTGGTTCTTTTATTGTTTTTAGTTTTTCTCAGTATAAAATTTATTCTTAAAATTATACCAAATATTTTGCCACCCCTGAAAATATTTTAATTTGGAGGCATCTAAAAAGTACAAATGGATATTTCCAAAAAAAATTAGAAACTTATTTGTGGCCTGCTTTATTTTCCTTAATTTGGAGTTGTGTGACTTTGGAAACAATCTATTGAGCTCTTGAAATTAAGAGGCCAGTTTTTGGCATTTCAAACAAGGACTGAACTATTCTCACTCTTGCCCTTGACCTACTGAAAAATAATGAAGAGAAAGCATAAGAAGAGGGAAGGAGGAAGGAAAGGGGGAGATCTAAAAAAAAAAAAAAAGGAAGAAAGAAAAGAGGAAGTAAAAATGTTAGATTATGGAAATAAAATTACATATATTTAATGTGAATAATTTGTTAACATAACTTAGTAACAAGACTACAACTAATGATATAGGGCAAGAAACTGGTATATTAGATTAAGTCTTAAATTCCAACTTTTTCTGCATTATGTGTATATGTTTTCATTATCCAATAGTTTAATTTTCCTAATTGCTATTGAGGAAACAGTAGTGGGACTGACTTGGATATCCAGGACATTCACCAAAATTTTCCACCTCACATAGTTAAAGGTGATACTCTTCCTAAAAAAAAAAAGATGTGTTCTAAATATGATATTTATGCTAAAGTTGATTAACTCATAACTTCAATCAAGTTTGGCTATAAATGATTTTGACTATTAGCATACAAATTATCCACATTTACATAGAATACATTTATTTTCTCTGAAATAATTTAAGTATTTACACTATAATCATTCATAGATAAAAATAAGATTTTATGATATCTACCTAGAAATATATCTGTATGAGATTACACAACATATAAAATAGAACAAGCACAAAAAATAAGCTTAGTTTGCATCCAAATTTTAATTGATGCCTGAAACATTACATATGTTGTTCTCCCAAATTCTATGAAGAGAGTGTATGCAGGGACCATTACTCCAATCATATACGACTGATATGCCCAATTTATTCAGTGAACATTCTCAAAAAACAAAAATCAAATATTCAAAACCACACAACTTATGTTCTATTGTATATGTTACTGTATTGGCAGGAAATCATGTAAAGAGGAAAAATAATTAATTTTTAATTTTATCCTAGTTTCATGATTGTACATTTTTTTAAAAATATATTTTATTGATTTTTCACAGAGAGGAAAGGAGAGAGATAGAGAGAGCTAGAAACATCGATGAGAGAGAAACCGCGATCAGCCGCCTCCTGCACATCCCCCACCGGGGATATGCCCGCAACCCAGGTACATGCCCCTGACCGGAATCGAACCCGGGACCTCTCAGTCCGCAGGCTGACGCTCTATCCACTGAGCCAAACCAGTTTTGGCTGATTGTACATTTTTAAAAAATTCAAGTATATTAGGGAAATTATGTTTACTTTATCTTAATACATTTGGTAAATATAATAAATCATATAATTATTTTTGAGATTTAAAATAATGTTGGGCACCTTATGAGCAATAGAGGTATAAATAAACTAGCTAAAAAGAGGGTATGTGACAAGGTTATACACTATAGTGCTAGTTTGAAATATTATTTTGTAAATCTTTGAAATGCATCACAGAAGTTTTTTGGAAGTTACATCTTTAATTTCATGTAATTCTTATTTCCTATTTTGTGCATTAATTGTGAAAAAAACACCTAGTTACATGGAGGTTTCCACTTTGCATTTTATAATTTATACAACCCCTCCATATCTACATATAATATTGAGGAAGTGATTTTAACATTTTTAAAAGAAAAATAACTCCCATAATGAAGATAAATTAATTACAGCCCCAACTGTGAAAGCAAATGCTGATACTTATTTTTCTTTTTTAATCCTGAATTTAATATGGAGGAGGTAGATGAAAAGTAAGATACATTTTTAATATTTCATGATATCACATGGCGTCATTAATCTTGTTACTTTCCCTTTGAAAAGAATTTGGAAGGGAAAATGTTGCACAGAATGGGAATAGTTTACTTCACTTGCTATATATATCTCCTCAGGAAAACTATTATCACCTGTTCAACCTGAATTCAAGCAGTTACTGTCAATTTACTCATGGGTGAATGCTGCCTCTTTGTGGCAGGATGCCATGGAAAGTGTTCCTTAAACATAAAGTTCATGAACAGTCCTTGATGTTGTACACATTTCAGGTGAGATTACGGGAAGACCCACCAATAGCAATGAAGCACAAAGCTCTTTAGGTTTCAGGTTAATTCAAACATTTACTACCCTTAAATATGAATCTCAGTTCACTGGCAAACCTTACTCAGAGGTGGACGGCTTATCCCTGCCAACAGCATGAACATTTAGGACATGGATAAACTTGAGATAAAGTATCCTTCATAATTGTTGAAGGTAGTTTTATGCAGGTAAAATTATGAAACTATGGAAACCTGTAGACTAAATAAGTAATATGGACATGACAAAAATACACAATATTGGAAGAAAAATGAATATGCAATATATTACTTACCATACTCCATGTATTAGATGAATACTTCAATAAGGAAAAGAAGTATACAATTAAAATTTCATTAATAAACACATTAAATGACACACTTAGAAAAACATAATTCTGTGAACCACCATAGGTGTAATAACATCTATATATTTTTAAATTTGATAGTTGTTTTGTCCTAAATTGTTAATAATGGAGATTCAGTCACTCACACAGCTAGTTCTTTTGCACTTTAAGTAATCATTACTTCAATTCCTCATATTTGACATAGTTATCAAGTGTTTATTCAGAAACTATTTAAAAAATTACATGTGCTGGGATACATATAAGACTGTAACAACAATAGCCCCATCTTACAGAGATCCTGTTTGTGGTTATCATCATTGCTTGCTGCCCAGAGGGATAAAGACATTGTATAGGGATTTGTACAGTCCATCATTTGGTCTTCTGAGGTGCTAGAACACATGGATCTGTACAAATGCAACGGTGTTTGGTTAAACAATCAAAAATCGGCTACAATAGTAGTCAAATCAATACATCATTTTGGTTGACTAATAAAAAATACTTTGAAATCTTCTCTAATAAAACCCAAAACTTGCACCTGATTCTCACCCAAATGGCCCAATTAATTGCCCTAATATTTTAATCTATATTGGGGTACAATCAGGTTTTTTTTTTTTTTAAATCACAGATCCAATTGGGTGGGTTGCACTGGCTTTAAAATTTTGTCATTGAGTTCTCCACATTTTGAGTGGTTTAAAATGCCTTCCTGATATCACTTCAATTTTGGAAATGCAGCTTCTAACATAGTGCGACACCTCTGTGGAAATCATAGGCTAAATAGTGAAGGAAAGAGAAATGCTAAATGTGCATATAAAAATAGGTGCTACAATAAAATATTTGTATATTTCATCAATAAGTTATTTTGACTAATCAATTATGGATCATATAGCTCTGTAATTTTAATGATTTGTCCACATCTATGGTGATCCTTTCGAGATCACAACACTTTTGTTTTTAATTCAAATGTCCAGAATGCATACAAACACATCCTTTTAAAAGAAAGAAGAGGAATGAGAGAGGAGGGAGCAAGGAAGCAGAGAGAGGGAGGGGGAGGAGAAAGAGGAAAAGAAGAGAATGAACTTTCTATTAAAGTTGGGGTGTGCTAATCTCTCCACAAAAGCCATGTAGACCCACCCAAGGCTTAAAGGGGAAGAAGGGGAGGGGAGAAGGGAGCAAAAGAGAAAGAGTAGAATCTATGCGCCGTCATCTTCTACCATTCTTAGCACTTCCAACCACTAGAAAAATGACTGCTACCTTTCAAAAGTCACCCGTGCATCAAATGGCCTTCCCAAAACCCCTACTCCTCTCCTCCCCCACACGCCAGAGAAAGGGATGTGCCCTGTTCACACAAACGCTTCCCCACGTGTAAAATTAAAAGGAAATCGCACACCCTTTCAGTGTCTTCCGCCGAAGCTAAGAATCTCGTGCCAAGGCACTTCACTCTAAACGTTGAAACAACATAATTAATCAAATATGTTCACCGTGTGTATCGGCTTGCTTGTTTGTTTTAAACGCAAAAGCTCCAAGGGAGTTTCTTTGCTTCTAGAACTGGCTAAATGTGGTTTGTTTTTCCAGCACTTCGAGGTAGTCCGGCTCAACGTTTAGTTTTGCTTTTAACTCCAGATACTCGTTCCGGTTGGGTTCTACAAAGACAGCACTGGGGGGGCTGTAGAGCACCGGTTCCCGCAGCCGGCTGTCCCCGGCCCCCGGGTGCAAATACTGGTGGGGGCGTCTCAGGTCATAGTTGGGGGAGAAAGTGTAGGCGGCGGGGCTGCACGGGAATTTGGGATATTCCGGGAGGCTGCTGCCGGCGGGGGCGGTGGAGCAGTGCTTGTCCGGTTCTAAAATGCCCCGGTAAAAGCGGTCGGCGTCCTGCACCGGGGACAACAGGTCCTCCCGGGGCTCGATGGTGCTGACGCTGTAGGCCGGGCTCCGCAAGTGGT